CCCGTGCACTCCACCACACTCCCCCCTTGCCCCACGGCCAGGTTGGAGGGGGCTTTCTGCCTGGCCCCAGGGGACCATGCAGCCCGCTCCTGCCAGCATCACAGGTGCCAGGGAAGTAGGACAAGCAGGGCAGTAGGGTGCCAGCACTCAGAGCAGTGTCAGGCTGTGAGCAGCATTGCTGTGAGGACCTGGCGAGAGGGGTTACCTGTGCGATTCCTATACTGTTGGCAGCAGCCACCAGCCAGGAGCCAGGTCCCTTTGGTTCCACCTCAACATGACAGAGTCCAGGGGAGCCACTGGGAGAGGGCAGGGAGGGCGTGCGGGAGCCCAAGGCAGGGTCACTGTCCTCAAAGGACAGCAGAGGGGACAGCCCAATCTGGAAGAGCAGAAGAAGGATAGCCATACAGCACCTGGTGCTCCACGGCAAGCCAGGTCCCCTGAGGAGGGCCTCACTGTGCAGGCCTGGGGGCAAGACACCCAGCCCATCATGCAGCCTCGCAGCACCCCAGTGCCCCCCAGCCAGTGCAGGACCACGCTGGGTCCCCAAAACCTACCGACTGGTAGAATTCATCGCCAGCAGGGTCAATGACCAGCAGTGTCACCTCGTCATCACGGGCACGGATCCTGAGTACCGTCTGCTGGTGGTCCAGCCCCTCGATGCTCTCACCATTCACAGCCAGGAGACGGTCCCCCTCCTTCATCCCTGCCTGCTCGGCTGGCAGCCCTGCATCCACGTCCCACAGAAACTGGCCTGCCAAAGCAGGACAGAGAGAGGGTGGGGAGATGCTCACAGAGGTGTTCAGCCAGAGGGGAACTGGCACTGCTGACCCCCATGTGCAGGTGGGGACAGGGTTCCGCTGTGGGCACAGGGCTTGCAGCTATTCCCAACCCTCAGACATGCCTTGCTCCGGTACAGACTGTCCCCCTCAGCCCCCTCACCTGTGGCCCCTGAGCTGCAGTCATCCTCCTTGAGCAGAAACCCATAGCCAGCTGGACCCTTCACCATGTGCAGCTCCCGGACCTTGAAGGGGAGCCAGGAGGTGTCTGCCAAGGCGGCTGTGACACACAGACCCCGCAGGCGGTAAAACTCCTCCACGGCACTGGATGCCACCAGCAGCGTCACCTTGCTGCCGCTCTGCTTAATCTGGACAGGAAACACAGGGTGCTCAGCGACACTGCCAACCCCAGCTCCCCACTCACCCGTACTGGGAGCACCCACCTTCCTGGTGAGCTGCGCGTGTGAATAGCTCTTCACGCTGGCCCCGTTCAGCTCCAGGAGCCAGGAGCCTGGTGGCACCCCTGCTCTCTCCGCTGGCCCACCCTGCCTCACAGAGAGCTGGAAGGTGCCCTTCACGCCTGCAGGGAGAAGAGGTAGTCTGGGGCAAGCACGGCACTGTGCTGGGGAGGTTTGCTGTGATGGCATCCCGCTGCCTGCTTTACCTTCTGGACCTGACACGCTGAAGCCAAACCCACTTTTGTCCCGTGTGATGTGGCAGAGGAGCGGGAGGAGGGCGGGCCGGCAGCATCTGGGACAGGTCCCTGCCCAGAGCTTTGGCTGCTTCGTAGGAGTCACCGTCCAGCACTGCCAGTAGGACCTGGTTCCCACTGGCCTTGATCTTCTGCACCACCTGGAAGGACCCAGACTGTGAACCCTGGGCAGTGCACCCCTCCAACTACAGCCTGTGGGATCAGGGTCCCAGCAGGCAGGAGAGTCCTGGACCCTCTGTGCCCCTGGCCGGGGAGGACCCGAGCGTTCCCACAGACCCGGGGTGCTCCCAGCTTACCCTGCGGTGGTCCATGTCGTCCACAAAATGGCCATTGACTTGGAGGAGCCGGTCCCCATCCTGCAGCCCCCTGCGCTGGGCCAGCCCCCCCAGCTTGACCTGCTGGATGACATGGCCCCGGCAGCCCAGCTCCTCGTGGAGGCAGAAGCCGAAGGTCTCCGTGCTGCTCTTGCTCAGGAGGTAGAAGCGGGGCTCCCCCGTGCCCTCGCCATCTGTGTGAGGGCACAGCCTGTGAGCGGGGCCCTGCAGGGATGGATCCTAACACGAGTTCTCTACCCCAAACTGGGCTGGGGTCTCCCCATCCCTGCTGCCTTATGTGTTCACCCTCCCACAGCTCCCTGGTGTGAGAGAGCTGCAGACCCCAGCAATGCCCAGCTGCCAGAACCCCGTGCTGACACAGGGACACCCTGGAGAGATAAGGGTATTTACCCATGTCCTCAGTCAGCGACAAGGCAGGGTTGTCGATCCCATCTTTGGGGTTAAATTCAAATTTTCTGAAATGATAAAGGGCAGGAGAGGCCACATCAGCGCAGCAGCACAGCCTTTCCCCCGCCTTCCCCAGCCCTGCTGTGGGGAGCCCCGTTCCTCCCAGAAAGGGCCAGCTGGGGCCACAGCTCTTGTGCCTCCTTTCCCTTGGGAACAGCCAGGAAGGGATCTTTTGGACTGTCCCCCACATCTCTCCTGAGCGAACGACTCAGAGAAGACCTTCCTGGGGCAGGGAGCTGGGATTGGCAGCCATGACCCACACCACCTCAGCTGAGGATGTGCCCCAGCACAGCCCGGTTGTGGGGCCATGAGCCCAGGAAGGCCCTGGCCAAGGGGAGCTCAGCACTTACATGATGGACTTCTTGTCACCCTCGAGCCCTGCAGAAGGAGAGGAGAGGTCAGTGCAGGAGGCAGCATGCTGGGACCACACCCCAGGCTCTTGAGCACTCAGGGCTTGTTTATTTGCAGGATGAGCATGCCAGGTGAAGTGGGTTCGCGGCATCCACGCAGCCCCCCCAGCCCCTCTGCCCCCCAGCTACAGCCTATTCCCCGGGCACAGCTCAGCCCTTGGCCCCATCACCACTGCCCTCTTTCATTTCAAAGCAGCAGGACGCCTGCTGCTTGGGTCCAGCCAGCACCCGCTGCCCAGCGCAGCAGGGTCCTGCAGCACCAGGGGAAAGAAGGGCCAGGCAGCGGTATGCAGATGGAGGTTAGTCCTGGGGGTTTACAGAGCTTTTGAGTGAGGGATGAGAAGGGTGACCAGGGCCCCACAGAGCTAGCTGGAACCAGGAGATGGAGACAGAGGCCTTCCCCTATGCACCTCCCCATAAAACCCCTCCCCACCGCTTCCAGCACAAGGACTCCCAAACCCAAGGAGAGGGGACTCCTGCCAAGCACCCCTACAACATCCATCTGCATTTTCCTGGATGCCTCTCGCTCCTTTCCATGGCCTGCCTGGGCTCTGACATTGCCTTGCTCCGTGCAGAAGCATGGTCTGCAGACGTGTGTGTGGGAAGGGTCCCCACAGTCCCACTGCCCTGGCACATACCTTTTGTTTGCTTCATGGCTGCAGGCAATGCTAGAGGGAGCAAGGTACAGGGTGAAGTGGCAGGGGAGCCAGTGTCCCCGCCTCTTCCAAGACGCCCCAGGTTTAATGGTTAAACAGCCTCGAGGTCTCCTCTGTCCTCCCAGCCCCAGGGCACTGCCAGCCCTCACCCAGCAGAGGTGGGAACAGGGCCCAGCACCCTGAGACCCCCAGCTAGGGAACAGATCCTGCTGTCCCAGCTTCCAGTTGCCCCCAAGGGCAGCTCACAGTGGGGAAGACCAGCTGATTCGGCAGGGGCTGGAGAAGAAGTGCGCTGCCCCATCCTAGCCCCGTGAGATGGGGAAGGGCCAGAGCCCTCCAGCTGCTGGAGGGACAGCTGCACCAGCAGCTCCACATTCCTCCTCCAGGAAGGGCCCGGAGACAAGATCGAGTCTTGGCACTAGCATGCTTCAGTGGAAACAAAGTGGTGCACTTTAATGCTACCAAGGGTTTCACAAGCAAGCCTGAGTCCCGCCCGTCTGCCACTGCTGTGGCTTGTGACTGGGCCAGCAGTGGCCAGGGTGCAGGGGCTGGGTATCTACAAGCCCAGAAGAACGAGTCCCATTTGCTCCTGGCCTGGTCTCTGTAGAGTTCTCCCACACGTCAGCCTTGCCTGCAGATGAGGGCTGAGCCCCACGTACCCAGCACCTTTGATAGCCTTGGTAGCACCCGACCACTAGGCATCTCCACGCGGATAAGGGCACAGGGGATGCCCTGCTGGGGCACACTCCAGCGTTTCCTCCCCAGCAGCACTGCTCCCTCCCTGGCCGGGTGGCTGGACAGCAGGTTAGAGTGCTCCATGCTGCAGTTTCCCCAGCATCTTCTTGACCTCACTCTCAACTCGTAGGAACTTGGCTTTCCTCCAGGGGTTGGCAGTCTGTCTCCGACTGCTCTCCAGGTCCTGCAGGATGAGGGCAAGGTGCTGCCGAACCCGCTCGCGGTCCCAGAAAGGCAGGTTCCTCTGCACCACGTTCAGGATATGGGACCAATAGTCAGAGACATCGGTGCCTGCTGTAAGGAAGACCAGTGCCCTGACTCCGTCCCGGTCCATGCGCAGGCTGTGAAGTGCCCGCTTGCCATCTTCACTGATGTCATTGAAGTACAGACTGTGGGTTGAGACAAAAGGAGTGGGAGACACTGTGAGGGCTGGGGGACAGCATGCAGAGACAGACAGGGGCTCCCTCCTCACTGTCACAGGGAGGGACACTGGGTCAGAGGCATTGCCTGCAAGAGGGAAGATAGGGCAGAGTGAACTCACTGCACTTTGTCCAGCGTTGCGTGCTTTTTGGCCACCTCCACCACATGCAGGGCAGCTGTGTCCGTCAGGGAGTTGTAGCCCAGGTTGAGCTCCTGGAGGTGCTGGTTCTCGGCCAGGTGCTGAGCAATGACCTCGGCGCCCCGGTCTCCCAGCGCAGTGTGCAGCAGGGACAAATGGGTCAGCGAGCGGTTGCCTGCCAGCGCCTCGGCCAGGTATTGTGCCCCCTGCTCACCTACAGGGTTATTTGCCAGCCTGTGGACACAGGAGCTCAGGGCAATGCTGAGGGTGGGCAGGGGGCCCAGGGCCAGGGCACATGGTGGGCAGCAGAGACAGTTTCACGCAAGGACAAAGGCAGTACTCACCGCAGGTTGCTCACCACGCACTTGTCATGCAGAAGCAGGTCGCGGATTTCCTTGCAGGCATCAGGGCCCAGGCTGTTGAGCTGCAGACTGATGCAGAGCGAGAGACGGGGGTGGTAGGACCAAAATGGCTGTAACCTGCGGGGCTGGCAGCCCTGCTCCCTCCCCTTTTCCCCCGCCCCCCCCCATCACCACCCTGCCTGGGCTCCCCAGACAAAGCCACGCAAGGCTTCCTCTCCAAAAGGGAGCACGCCGAAACCGCACCAGGGTTTGGGTAGCATCAGCCAGCAAAGCCAGTGCCAGCAGAAGCAAGGGAGGTGTTGGGGGTGCAGGGTCCGCAGTGGGTGGGTGAAGGTCTGAGGAGGGATCAGGACCCCACCAAGACCTCCCGAGCATCTGGAGGAAGGCAGTGCTGCACAGCCCCGCCGCGCAGCTGGATCCATCTCTGCTGAGAACGGCTCGCCGCCCCCCGGGCGAGAGGAAGACTGCATTGCACAGCCGGGCTGGAGCGGAACTCCTGCCCGGAGTCAGCCGCAGCAGGGCTAGGCTACGCGGGGATGCCGGCTGGCTCCGGGGGCCAAGGCAATGGGAAGGACCTGGGTCTGCCAGGGGAGCTGGCAGCCCAGCCTGCGGCACCAGATGTAGAGAGCTGCCCAAAGACTCCTGCGGGAGGGTGTGTTGGGACTGCAAATCCCAGCATGCAGTGCCCTAGCAAGGCTGCTCAAAGAGTGTTGCATGTTGGAAGCTGTAGTCCCCCAGGTCTGCACTGAGGATAAACAAAGGCACGCATGCCCTTCCATACCGTTGCCTGCTCGGGCTCCTAGCGTATCCCCGGACGGGCAGAGGTGAGGACGAGCCCACTTTTTGAGCACTGCCCAAGGGCAGAAGATGGTACTTACTGGAGAGCTTTGCATCGCAGTAAGACAGGGAAGAGGATCCTCAAGCTGCTTGTGTCAAGGTTGCAGGAGGTCAGGTTCAGCTCCTCCACCTCATGGCACGTGGTGCCCATGACAGATGCCAGGACAGAGCATTTAAGAGGGGTCATCTTGACAGATGAGAGGTTGACAGTCCGGAGGGAGCGGATGGCCTCAGCTGTGAAACGCTCATTCTGGAACTCATGCAGGAAGAAGAGGTAGTCCATCAGCTCAGAGGGGGGCAGGCCCTTGCGGCTGTTCCTGATGACCGTCTTCTTCATGGCCTTGGCGATCTCAAAGGCTGCCAGGTTCTTGATGGAGCAGCCCAGCTGCTCAAGGATGGCACGGTTACGGCGGGACAGTATCCCACCCATGAAGATGGGGAAGAGCTCAAAGACCTCATCGTCAGGGGCCTCATCAGGGTGGCGCATGGGGCCCTCCACACCCAGGATGCTGGAATTGATCTGGTCCAAGACATCATCATTGTAGTAGTCCTCTTCTTTGAAGAGCTCCTCTGCCATGGTGTGGGCAATAGCATCCTGGTCCTTACCGCTCAGCCGGGAGAAGTAGCGAGGGAAGATTTTGAGCAGGTTGAAGAGCACTGGCAGGAAGCGCAAGGGCAGCACCTTGGAGATGATACTCAGAACGACAGCGACATCTTCGCTCACCTTCCCAATGACATCTGACAGCTCCTTACCCACTCTCTGTGCCAGGGTCTTCTTCTCACCCAGCACCACATACAGGGCTGCCAGGTACTCCTGCATAGCAGGGACGGTGAAGACAAAGGTGTGCTCTTTGCCTGCCTGCACACACGGACTGAGGAAGAAGCGGAAGACATCGCTGCGGAAGACCTCCAGGAGGTTGAGCTCACTTTCAGTCTTCATCTCCACCTCAAAGCACTGCTGCAGGTCATCCTCTGAGAAGCAGGTCTTGCGGGACATCACCCCTTTGTAGGCCAGTTTGCCCACCGTCTTGGCCACGTACTTCATCATGGAAATGTTGGTGGGGTCAGTGCTGTCCAGCACCTCCCCGCTGAAGTTGAGCCTCAGGAAGCTGGTGTAGATGCCAGTCAGAGTCTGGCTGGGAGGCACCGTCCTGGTGAAGTAGAGGAAGTGCAGCGTGGTGCACACCAACCAGCAGTAAGAGGGCAAGAAGCACGCAGCGGCTATTTGGTTGTGGCGCTCCAAGTTCCTTGACAACATCTCCACCAAGTTTTCCCGCTCGCCTGAACTGCTACCCATACTGTTCTCTCCACTGCAGCCAGGCTGGCTGAGACGCATCTGGAAGTACAGCTTCTGCAGGTTGGTGTCGGAGAAGCCACAGATCTCAGCGTAGCGGCCCACATATTTGCCAGGGATCCGGCGCACCGCTGATGGGCGCATGGTGACAATGATGCTGGCCTGGAAGCAGAGGGCTGGGTGAGTTTGGAGGTGCTCCCTCTGCGGCTTTGATCTAAGCTCAGCAGGGTCCCAAGTGTGTAACCCACATATAGGTGCACAAGGATCACACCACCCAGGGGTTGGCGTTCAAGAAGCCGCTGCCCAAAGGGTGTTAGTTCAAATCTGACCCAGGCAGAAGGGACAGAAGAGCTTTCCCCATCCCCTGCTAGTCAGATACCAAGTCTGGAAGACCACAGCCCCACAGACTGCCGCCTCATCCTTACCAGGCCTTCCCAAAGATCCCACAAAGACAAACCACTAAGTGACATGAGGCCACTTTGGTGAGTCCCTCCAGGAATGGAGGCTGCCTGTTTGCCCACAGCCAAGCTGGACTACAAGCAATTAGCACAATGGCCACGCCTGCAACGCCCCAGGGCTCACCCCCAGCCTTTCATCCAGCATGAAGGAGCTGGAGGGAGACACTGACCTCTGGCAGGAGGTATTTTCGCAGCAGATTGACCACAATGGCAGAGGGAGGCACAGGCTCACTGGGGTCACAGCACAGCTCCGTGCCAGCCAGCCGGAAGTCCAAATTGAGGCGCTCCAGGCCATTGAGGATGAAAAGCACCTTAAGGTTGGAAGTGCCCAGCATCGGTACCACGTCCCGGAGGTGTTGGTATTTCTTGGTTATGAGGCGCCGCAGGGAGATGGGGGCATGACTATGAGACAAGTCCTCACAGGAAAAGGGGATGACCAGCTCAAAGTGGGGTAGGCGACCATGGCACCAGTCCACTACCATCTTCTTGATGAGGGTGCTCTTCCCTGTGCCCACGGTGCCATACAACACCACGTTCTTCACCTGCCGCCCACAGGCATCCACATCAAAAAGGTTCTGGAGGCTGATAACCCGGCTGCAGGGCTGCTGGAGCTGATTCTGGATGGTTAGGTCAGGCAAGGGCTTCAAGATCTCCTCCAAGGAGCTCTCCCGGATCACTGGGTCCACGTGGACTGCATCTAGCGAGAAGGAAGGGCCAAACTGCCTCTCTTCATTGGGTTGGTGGCTGAACCAT